AAACCAGCAGGCATTTAGGCTGTAATGTCTCCCCGAGTTGGGGCCTTTACATATTTTAGAATATTGATCATTACTGTTATTGCCGCTATTTTGGTGGTCACTCTACTGTGTCTGTCCCTGCAGAGTTATCTGAAGAGCACTGCAGAGGATAACTGTTGCTAGGTAATTGTCAAAGAAAGTCATGCAAATTATGAAATATCGATAGACCGTCTTTGCAAGTCAATGGTGTCAGACCTCTCCTGCTTTGCTAGTGAAATGCAAGATGTAAAGGTGTGCTGCCTTTATAGTTCTTGAAATGACCTAAAAATGGCACATTCATCACAACCAGCCTCTAATGTAAGAAGTTCAGTGAGCAGTCACAATTTATTCAGTTTGAGATAATTGACTTTTCTGCCTTTTCAATGTTATTAACATTGTGATTTAATATTGCAACACATCTATTATATTTGTGGGAGAAGTAGAGAAAAGAAAATACTAAGTGGACTTTTTAAAAGAACATTTGCCACATTTAAAAAAAAAAGTTTATTCAAAAAAGAAATAGAAACGTATAATTTTCTTATCCCCAACTTACAAAGTGCATCCTACTTATAAATCTTAAGCTAGGAAGTCAGTATCCACAGCTTGGCTGGAAAATATTAAAATATTCAATATACACAGAAGTGAGTGAAAACAAGAACTAATAATATACCAACAATTATGGTGAAGACCAGCCAATTCTTTGTTCATCTAGTAACATTTAGGAGCCATGCTGAGTTTAACAATTCAAGATGGGACTGGAGTACTTAAAATTAGTCAACATAAAAGTCGGAGTTAAAAACAAACAAATAAAAAACAGCCAGAGTCAATATTGTAGTTGGCAGGTAGGGTTGCATAATTTCAAAATCTGGGGCGAGTGTCATGATTAATGGCTTTCCCCTACTTGCACAGGCCCATCTGAGGTTCGGTGTGGCAACACAGTTTAGCTGCTGGACAGGAACAAGCACCACTAAACCCAAAGACAGTGACCTCAACACTAACATGGATTCTCACTATCAAAAAAACCTTTATATCACTAAGGTAAGGTTATTATTGGCTCCATCTGCACGGCATCCCCTACAGCGATCAAACATACTTGATGCCAACCACGCACTCTTTGGAGGAGTTAAGCTTGATCAACTCACTCTAACTTTAACTCTAGAAACAACTGGTTAAATCTAGATATTTCTGCCTATGAGTCTTTTCCCACACACAAATTACATGTTCAACTTCTCCAGAGAAGCTCGTCCTCCCTAAAACCTTTATGGTAGCTAAACACTGGAGAAGTATACAAAAACATACGGGAATTAGCAGCACCTTTATCAACATACTAATTTCATTTATTAAGCAAATAAATACCCTTATCCTGTATGTTCAAGGTGAGGAATTAGGTTTTGTGGGAGCTCTTTTTAGAATGAGTCTGTCATGAATTCTACCTTAATCAATTTACATGTTTTATTGGTTTGCTTGGGGGGGGGGGGGGCTGTTGTTTAATTTTGGTTTGCTTGGTTTTTTGCTTTCTTTTCTTTATTCTTTTTATTACCGTCCTAAGTTCTGAACATGGGACCTCATCCATGCTAGGCAAGTGATCCACAATTGAGCGATATTCCCAACAAAATTTACACCATTTTGCAGATTCTACTTGTTGTATGCCCCCCTCAAACAAACAAAAACAAAAATCGTAGGGAACATTAAAGAAATCTAGGCAGAGTCCCTTCTTTCCAGGACATCTCCTTCCGGAACACACCCTCTGAGGCCCCCACAACTCCGAATCACTCCCATGCTTAAGCCCTTGGGAGATGAACAGAACGAGGGCAGAGCTAAACAGTAAGGTGAATGCACACTCTGAGACTTAAGAAGGAACTGGCTGGCAGACATCTTAGAGGCCATCTACAGAGGATGGCCCTGGAAGTTCTGGTTTATTTCTGACCATATATCTTTTGCTCTAAGACTATAACTTGGGAAACTTGAATTGAGTCTGGTTGTTTGTGGCAAGCTTTACATGAAGAACCTTTGAACTTTTCCTCTGAATGGGGCATTAGACTCTTCCTACCCATGCTCTCATTCCAACATTCATGTGGTAGGTTTCTTTTAGTATTTGTAGAATGCTTACAAGACAATTAAGTTTACGGAAGAAGCTCATTTACCCACCCAGCTACTATTTAATTTGAACCATAGGTCCGTCTGGCCTCTGGAGGCAGTTTTAAACATTAGATTACATCCATTTTGAGTTTCAGAAATGTTGGTATTTTACTTCTGGGCTCCAGATAATTCCTTTTAAAAAATTTCCATCTACTACTCTAATTAGACAAAGATAAGTGTTTTCTCACAGTTCAGTCTTAAGGGAGTAGGAGTAAAGAAATCAAAACTCTACAGAACACAGCAGACTGGCTGCAGAGGGTAAAGACAGCTGCATCCACTTTAGGTAGAGTTGCATGGCCTAGTTGATGGCTGAAGATGAAACAGCATGTTACCATTTGTCTGTTCACTCTCTAAGGTTTACTCGGGAAATACCATTTGCTTCCCATTACCTTTCTCAAGAGCGATGAGAAAAAGATTGTTTTCCTGTGTGTGTGTGTGTGTGTGTGTGTGTGTGTGTGTGTGTGTGTGTGTGTGTGTGTGTTTATATGGAAGGAACAATGTGTTCCTACTTCATTTGAAGAACAGATACTGTCATGCCATCACACAGCAAGATTCCAAAACTTCCTAGAGCTTAGCTGATACACTTATGAGAGTTTCTCCTTTCAGAATGAAACCAGCTACCATTCAGAAACTCATGTTCACGCTCATAGGCTGAGCAATGAAACAGGACATACAGTCAATCAAGGTAACAGAGAGAACAGGCTACCTAGTACATGCAAATGCCTTGCCCTAAAGTCTTCCTTTATTCCTTTTGTGATTCTGTGTCTTTAACAAATTAAACATGTATTTTCCTTCCAGTAACATCATCTAAGGCTGACAAGGGGCAGGCGGAGGAAAGGAGTGTGCTGACCTTTTTCAGTAGAGAGGTCTAAGACACAAGGACTTCTTTAACAAAAATACACTGAAGCTTGAAAGGTGGGAATTTGTTACTTTATCTCCTGGATACAAACACTTCCTTTCTTTGAACTCACACTCATGAATCCTTGAGGTAGCACCAAGTCATGCCTGTTAAAATTGAACTTGGCCAGTATCACCACACCTTTGGTCGAAACACTGGCTGAGTTCTGGGCTGAGTTTTGGCCGGGAAATGCACAATATTGGTATTACAGGCAGCTCCAGAGAGGTATGCCAGGCCTCTCCCTGCTCGGTTTATATTTGCATGTGAACAGCTTGCCGGCCATTTTATGAAGACAGATGAATCGCAAACCGGCTGGAGGGGTATCCAGACCTCAATATGTGAGCTACACACCCTATGTCTTACCTGTTTTTAAGATAAAAATAATGCAATTCTAGACACATCTTCAGGAAGATTAGCCAAAATATATTTTATGAAAAACGGGACGTTTAAGGCATTACCAGCCAGGTCAAAAATGAAGAAACAAGTCTGTAAATATTGCTGTATAGATTGCCAACAAAAGATAATATGCAGCTGTTTAACACAAAAACTAGTCTTCAGAGGTGTCTCCTTTTTTTTTTTCCCCCTCTACTGCCTCTTGGGTGTGAGGGAGGAAAAAAAACTTTGATAAAGAAAATTTCATCAAAATACCAGAATAAGAATAGGGATTATCAGTTCACATTGAAGGTCTCAGTGGAGAATTATGACAAAGACTTTCCAGGGTTAACAACCTAGGAAGTGTTCTGAACAATTAGTGATAAGATTTCTAATGTGGTAAGGTGAGCCCGCCATCACACCAAACCAAATAGCTCAGTTTTCCTGCCCTTTCCAGATAATCAACTGGAGATCAAAATGGGAAAATGGGTGCACAGAAGGAGGGGAGGAGGAAAAGGAGAGGGATTCTCATTCATAGAGCAGGAGATGAAGAAAGGAATGATAGACAGCATTATACAGGCAAGGAAAATGAAAGAAAAGTCTCGAAAAATTATTAGCATTTTTCTTTATTTAGTATAAAGTCATTGAAAAGGGCCTGTGGTAAGTATGTCAATTGTATTACCTTACTTAATTTTCACTACGGTAATACTATCCTATTTTAGATAAATAAATGAATACCCTGAGAGGTTAAGTAATCGTTTTTAATATTACAGAGGTTAGTCTTTTATTTGAGGACTTTAGAAGATATCTATATAGTGATCTATGATGGAGACTTAGTTCACATCTCCATTTTTATTAAATGGCTGGTTTTGCTCAGTCTAATAGTCCAGCCTATGACTATGTTTCTAATCCTTGCAGTGTATATCACACATTTTGAACATTTCATAAGATATTATTATACGTAAAGTGTAGATTCTTAGAAAGGTCTCTGTAACAGCAACTTCACATAGACTCTGAGCTGTGGTTCACTGGCAGAGGTCCTGCCTAGCATGTTGGGGCTCTGGGTTCAATCCCTGACCTGCAAGCAGGGAAAGAGAGAATGGAAGGACAGTGAATGTGATTACTCTTTTTTCACAACTGAGTGATTTCACGTTCTCTTGCTTTTTTTTTTTTTTTTTTTTTTTTTATTTTAGACAATTTAAAGAGGAAAATCTGTAAAAGATACCGTGCTTTCTCAAGGCCATTTGCAAAGACTTAAGATCTACATTACCCAGAGACCGCATGTCCTCCCGTGATCTTCAATGAACAAGCACCTTAGGACATTTCCCACTTTGAAGAGGACTGTCCAAGTGCCCTAGCAAACCCAGCCCACCTCTCAGAGAATTAAGTGTCCTAGTTAGGACACTCCTGGAGGAGAAGGATTGGGGTGGGGGCTGGGCCTGCTGGGATGCCTCTGGAGTTTTCTCTTTGAATCCTCTGAATTTGTGCTGGGTGTGTTCATAGGGCAGCCATGCTCGGCCACCTCCTGTGGACTCTGTCTGATACAGCAGCCAGAGTCCCATGCTAAACTTACCATTTTCTGGCTGGTCCTTAACGTCAGCATCACTTGGCTGGCTGGGACTTTCAGATTGACTTGAATCTGAAAAACATAAAAAATACAGCCAAAATTACAGGATCTGTGAGAGAAAGTGGATCAGAGGTGCCAGACTTTCTCAAAAGGTTCAGCCTATAAACCAAGAATGAGAAGGTCAGAAAAATGACACGGTGAATGAAAAGAAGGGAAAAGAAATGCAGGAGGGGTGGGTGCATGAGCCTTTGGCACAGATGCCCAGCTTTGTTTATGCTTTTCTGTGTTTTCCTCTGTGCTAGGTCAGTAATTGAAGCTCTTCAGAACTATTCTCCGATGGAAAGGTGGTTCCACACTCACTTCCTTATATACTGAAGTCTGATAATGGCTTTATCCATCATTACACACATCTGAAGCTTGATTCCGGTCAAAACAAAGGGCAAATTTCGAAGTTGGTATAGAAAAACCCAGACAGCAGCATGGACTGAAGACTCACACTACTTAATTCTAAAGTTCTAATGTTCTAGGGCATACTAGACAAGCTTTCTGTGGGCCTGAGCTTCCTCCATAGGACAAATGTTTTCCTGTTGTGGTAGGTATCTGGGAACCCCTAAAGAAAAAGCAGAATCTGGTAAAACTTTGCAGAATTTAAAAACAAAAACAAAAAAATCAAAACACAGCAACAACAAAAAGGTAATTTTTGTACTTAAAAATTCTTTCCATTAATTTCTAAAAAGGAGAGCTTAAAATAACATTTACTTTCATAATGAGATAAAATGAACTTTCAAAAGAATTTCACAGAATTAGAAGCAAGCATAGCCATATGTTTGGGAGAAAAGAGGAAAACTGAGGTGCATATCTCAAAGAGAATAAAGCCTTTTCAGATACTTAGGCCAACAGACACAAATACTTATTTGAAGTAAAAATATTAAAACCTCTCTATCTGTGGAAAGTGTGGTTTCTAACTTTATCTTGATGTCATAGATTTACAATCAGTTATCTTTAATCTGCCTACGTTTCGTCAATATACAACCAAGAGTTTACAGCCTGTAACCATGATCAAAGCCAAAGTGTCATGGCATTGGGACTTAGCCATAGCATCCCTTCACTTTCCAGGAGAGATTGCACAAAGAAGTGATACTCCCAGGGACCTTTCACCTGAGATGTTAACCCGTGATATTAAAAGACTCCCACTTTCTCTCAGACAATAAGTATTTTAATCATAAGAGAGCACCAGAAGGGCTATGTCTACTTCAGAATTTTCAGGCAATATTAACCTGGCAAATACAACAAAAAAAGTTAGAGGTCAAAAATGAAAAGGACAGAAAGGATAAAAAGGTTGATTTTTAAAATTTAAATCTAGCATAACAGCTTTTATCACATTGTAACAATTGCTGTTTGTCATTTGTTACAATAGACAAAACCAGAAATCCTAATGTTTCAAAAAGCCTATATAGGAGCCCTTTCAGAATAAACTGCAAAGACAGAGATTAAGCCTGCCCCTGAAGTTGGAAATTCAAACAAACTTATAGTGAGATCGTATTTGAAATTCTAATGAGAGAAACTAGTGTAATTGACACTTTTCTTTTTCTAAGATCCTATATTTTTTTTCATTAAAAATTACAAGTTAAACACTTGTAATATTTAAGTATTTAAATATTTAAGTATGTTTCAAAAGAGTCACAGCATCGTTACTTTTATTCTAGAAAAACCTTAAACCATTAATTACATAAAATTAAAGCAAAATACCTAAATTTATTTTAGGTAAGTTCCTTTTGATCATACATGAAATAGATAAAATTTTACCAAACAACATATTCTTTAAAACCATACAAACAAATATAATTCTTTTATGATAGCCTAGATAAATTGTTCTTGTAGGTGTGACATCTTTATAACTAATGTTTCTCCATAAAGCAGTGGAAAGCATCTTTCCTGTTAATTAATTTAGATACACAATAGACAACAGGAGTAAACTATTTATTCATTTATTTTAAAGAAAAGGTGGATAACGACCCCCAAATATTTTTTAACCTAATAGTAAATATCTTTATGTTCACTTTTTGTTTAAAAGATTTGTTCCCTCACCCTACCTTTAGAGAAACAGTAAACATGAACACTACGAGCTGAATATGGGGCATGTTCTACGCTAGTTTAAAATTCTAAGCCGCAGACAAGCGAGTGTCCAAGAGCTGAGTGGCACGGGAATGCTCAGGCTGGGTCTACAGGGGTCCCGGCACTGCCCTGAATACTGGGACACTAACACTGGAAGAGGCATCTGGCCAAACTGGGATCCGAGCATGAATTCTCAGTTTTATTCAAAGCCCGGAGAACGTTACCACCCGAGGCCATCAAGCTAAAATATTCTATCCCAGGAAGACTCAAACAGAGCCAGGGCTTCGCATGAAAACCCGAGTGCCCTAAATCTTTTGATAATTATTCTCTACCCGTCCTGGTGCGATTCTGCGAGGAGGAGACACAGCCCCTTTCTCGAATGTAAAAGGTCACAGTTGCTTTTAAGTACGGAGGCAACCAGAAGACCAGAATTATGAATTAATTTCTATGCACACACAACTGATACAAACGAAAATCCTCTTTAGCATTTGCGTGGAAATACTACCAAAACTAATACTTATTTTAAAAACTTTTATCTTTTGTGTACTTTTTAGAGGACTGGGAGAAGACTTTGTGTCGTTCTCTTTGGGGCTATAATTGTATGGTTGCTTGATTTCTGACCACCTGAAATAAATAGAGCCCCTCGAAACAAATTCACTTGCATAGAGTGTGATGGCTCTCTTACACAGGAAGCTCCCCAGTCCCCGTGTACAAGAGTGGTGACTGTCTTTAAAGGTTCCCTGGTTAAAAGCCAAAGCATTTGTATTTTTACAATGAATATTACTTAAATTTTACAAAGAATATGACTTCAAGTGTATCTAAATGATGGGGTTAGAATGCTGTTGTGGGAAAGTAAGAGTTACTGTTTTTTTCTCCGTAGCTGGGGATTTGTTTGTTGTTTGTCTAATGAACCTTACATATCAATTTATCCTTGAAAAGTGATTTTCCTTTGGTTTTAAACAATTTATGAGCATGTATTTAAAACTAAAATTGACAGGGTCTGCATACCAAAAGCTAGGTAGCCACTCATCTATGCATTTTTATGGTGTGTACAACTATGTTCCTCCAGATAGGCCACTATCAATATAATCACCAGAGTAAGAATAAAATAAATACTAGTGTCCACATACTGGTCTCTGCTTCTATAGCTTGTACAAACACAGAACCTTGTCCTGAGCTTGTAACTTATATACACATCCAATCCCTGAAACCTTAAGTCTGTTCCTTTAAACGAAGCTCTCCTTTAGCAGAATGCAAAGGGTGACAAAACACGTTCCTGTGGTAAAGTGATGAGGGAAAAATATAGGTGTCACATCCCTATATTTTATATTAATTAAGCTTCTTAGAAAGGTGGCATATTGCCAATCTTCCCTGTCCTTGACCTAGAATTAATCCCTTCCCCTGATCCATCTTTAACTGTGCATACTTCTCTCTTGATACAACTGAAGGAAACTGTGTGGTGATGCAAGCTCCTGCAGAGAGTCACTTCCTCTCCTCTTGTCTCCAGGCCCTTTGACAGGCATCCCTGCCCAGCCCAATAACTGCTCAAGATACAAACTTCCAATTCTTGTTCAGCTTCTTAACCCTGAAACAATTGCCAATGACAGTGCATCCCTGAAAAGAATATACCTGAAAAGAAAGGACAGTGGGATTTAGAACCTGGAAACAAACGGTGGGAAGGCCATTATCTCTGCTATATATCCCACTTGCTTGGGGCTGGTAAGGGAAGGTGAGGCACACTCCTTTGACATGGGGTTATTTAGAAACTGCATAATGGAAACAGGTTGTAGACAAGCACCTTGCTGAGCTGCTAGCACAGAACACAGGCTGAACTGAGGGCCCTGTCCAACACTCAGAATCCCTAAGACGTGTACACAAACTAAACTGACCACTGGCAGGAACATTTCACATATACAAGTTCAAAGGGGAGAGGAGCCATGTGTTCTCCAATGGCCACAGTGTTTTGCAGGCTTTAAGATTGCTGCCGAGAACTGAGTAGAGCAGGGCAGGTACATGGAGGTCCATGCCTCCCCTCCCTAAATGTAACAGCAGAATCCCCACTCAGTGAGTGCAACAATCACACGAGTTTATAAACCATGAAAGCATACATCTTGCTCTCTAGAAAATCACTTCAGGCTAAGTTTCAAGCTATCAATATGCACAGTGATTTGTCCAAACCTGAGCCTGCAGAGTCTTTGCTAGAATTCTGTGTCTAGTTCTTAATCTCCCAAACTGAAAGACAGTAGGAAACTAGAAGGCATCCAGACCCAGACACACACACACACACACACACACACACACACACACACACACACACACACGCAAACCAGTCTGGTGGGGAAAAAAAAAAGGTAAATTTTATTTTGTCCCAAAGAGTCCAGAGTTCTCTATCACCTAAATGAAAGAGACCTAAAGATTGGAATGGATAAGAAGTGAAGAGTTGGGGGAATTCCCAGGGTAAAAGAAAGGAGGTGAGTGTTTGCTCAGACTATAATCAACAACGGCTTTCTGCAATTGTAGCCAATAACAACTTTAAACCTTCAGGTGAGTCTCTGTGTTTATGGTTCAAAAAGGTGAGCAATATGCTCTGTAGTAGAGTCAGGATAAATAATTCATCTTCTATAGCTGAGTAGTTAGACTAGGAAAACATCTGTCTCTGATAGAACAAGGTTAAAAATTCCTGTGCTTTGATCTGGTGTCACATGTTTATAGTAAGGGTCTCCAGAAGATGAGATGGTTATATGGCTGTCACAGGTCAATTTGCTTATTGGTCTCACAGTTGCTGTTATTAAAGAAATTATTGTTGTAACGACATTGAGAAACATTACCCATGTTTTTCTATAGGTTCAAGTTCTTAAATACTGAGGTAAGAAGAAATATTTGTGAAATCTTATGTGAGAATGTATCATTGCACAGGTCATGTAGAGGCATCCTTAATTCTTAGTGGTTAGCATTGA